TCCTCCTGATCCTCCTCTTCCCCCTCCTCCTCCTTAATTGCTGAGGTCACGTTGAAGGATATTGAATCATGATTAAAGATTTTCTGGGGATTGCTGGGATTATCTCCATCACCGTCCAAAAAACATTTCATCGCAAATGTCTCACGTGCGGATTATTGAGAAATGGAGCCAATAGACTCAGCTCGGTCTGGCCTGGTCTGGTCTGGGTTCTTGTCTTTCGAATCGAGGAAGTGGAGAATTTGGTTTTCATAAATGCTGATTGAAATGAAAGACCAGAGAGAGACCAGAAAGAGACCAGAGAGAGAAAACAGAGAGAAAGAGAGAGACCAGAGATACAGTAAACAAGAAATGTTGAGAGACCACACAGTAAAATTGACAGAGTTGTTTTCGACTCTTATAGAGTCAATTTGACTCCGTCGTAGATATGTATAGGTCCCACCCTACAGAGAGTAGATTGTACTCTGCTCCAAGAGCACATTTTTCAGAGTTAAATTTACTCCATATGGAGTTATAACCTCACAAACATTAACTCCACAATGAGTGAATACAAATGAACTCTGTATGAAAAACAACTCTTTCAGAGTCATCTGAAATCTTAATAGAGTCAGCTTAGTTTACCTCCATTCAGAGTTAATTCCCAAACTTACTTGTTCTTATCTAACCTTTATACAAAGTTTGAGGACAGACGGGTAAATTACAAAATATTTATTGCAACATATTTTGTTCACACTTGTATCAATGTAAAAACATTCAACTTTTGTTTTTGTAAACTACAAAATAGTCAGCATAAACATAAAAACTCATTTTTACACGGAAGACTTTTTTTCCCCTGACCATAACTTTACAGAAGATGACAGTATGGAACAATAAACCTTTTGTTGTCCTCCATGTTGTGTGCCATTTGTAAGTCAAATGGTTTGGGATAGGAAAGAACAGAGACATCAATAACACTATGCAACTCTTCTCTCGGTACAGACACAATGAAAGCATACACATGTTCATCAAAACAAACTGTTTCTAACTTTGTAACTATTAAGAAGACATTGTCATCCTTCACCACAATATCTTTGATTTTTTCAAAAATGGGCATGTCATTTAACACTGCACTACATATCACCAAGTTGGTTCGAAACTCAGTTCCGTAGTATTTGGCCCATTTCACAGACCAGACAGTTTTCGTAAAGGACAAGCTTAGAGTACAAGACAACTGTTCCTTGGCAGGAAAAGAAGAAACTGATTTCTTTTTACCTGGGCCAACAATCAACCTCTCCTTAGGAAATCTCTGCCAATGATAAGCCATGTAGTTCTGATGCTTCTTTGCTAAACTCCAAGTCAAGTTTTTGAAACATTTCTTCTGCTGTTTAAAATATTTGTGCTTACCCTCATACCGCATACACCATACATGAATTAATGGACCTATGTTTTGTATGCAGCGGGGATAATGAATCATTGTGTGGTGCTTTGGTAACAGATTTTTTCCAGGAAACAACCGTTTGAAAAGCTGATGGTGCTCCACAATCAGATACTTCAAGTAGACAGTCATGCCTTTGGTCAAATATGGGGCAAAGACTATGTTGACAATCTGGAGCAGTAAAAGTAATAGATTCCAGTGCTCATCATTTCTCTCAACAACATCACCAAACATTAGAGGAATGTTACGGAGCAGACACCAGGCCTGAATGGCATTAAGGCCCAAGTCATTGCTTGCATTCTCCAGTTTTAGAGCAGATGGTTGATTCCTTCGTTCTACATATCCATAATTGAAAGACTGAATTCTATCACTTATCTCTTTAAAAGAGATAGACTGCTCAGCAATATACTGAAGAGTGAGCTTTACCTCAAACTGTGCGACGCCTTCCAAAATGTCATGCATAACATCGACTGCAAAATTATCAACTATGTGGAAGTATTGGAGAGAGTTGAGTAAACACTCACTTTTCACACCATATACATGAGACAGATCAGGGGAGGCTTTTATGAGCTGACAATGATCAGAATGCAACTCTTTAGTTCTTAAACGCATGTTTGGGTGGTCTTCAGTAAATACTTTCTGATAGTCTTCTCTCTCCGTTAGGCAAAAACGACAGCAATATTTGGCACTAAAGGACTCCACATAGCCAAACAAACCATGTAGTCCAAGATTGTCACCTGTGACTTGAAAAATGCTCCCATTAATGCGCCCACCAAGTCCAGGTACATCAATTCCATCTACTTCCAAAATCTTAAGATCATTTACCAGAGGCTCAAGAATGGTTGCAAAACCATATTTTTTAATATCCAGAGTATGAAAAAGCATACATAAATGGATATTGGCAAGGCATGAATTGTATCTTGGTGGGAAGTTCCTTAAGGTAAAGTAAATTGCACCAAGTTTGTGTGAGCCTTTTTTAGACCCCAAAGGATTACATGGCTCAAAATCATCATAAAACAATTGTAACTGAAGAGATGGAGTGTCCTTGGAAAACAGGGGATTTTTCTTAAAATAGGTCCCATCTCTTAAATCTGAATATAGATTTGACCTTGATTGAACTGACGTAAACATGTCAATGGCACTAGACTGTTTTAGAACTGATTGAAGTGTAAGTAAAACTGGAATGTAAGCCAATGTATCAGTAACAAGGATTTGATCAAATGTGCCAGTGTTTTTGTTCCATCTGTTGTCAAACCTGGAACCAATGGCTTTCTTTACAGGAGCGACTACGCCCCATTTCTTAGAAAAATATTTGCGTCGCTTCTCCACAGAATTCAATTGTGTAAATGGATTGGAAATATAACCCAGTGTTTTTTTAACTTCCTGAACTGTTTTTACATCACTTAAACCACTTAAAACTGTTTCCTTTATCTGATCCTGTATTCCGTTAACAACTTCCTCCAAAGAGCAAACTAGGTTATGCAAATTTTCTTGACCAACCCCGACAGACTGAAGCTCTGCCACAACAGAAGCACACATATTGTGAACATACTCTCCACTTTTTGAACTGGTGTGTGAAACAAGTAGATCGGGTTGCACAACAGGTGCTTCCACATTAACATCTACTATCAAATCATTACTTCCATAGCAATGGTTAATATCTGAAATGTCAACATTGAGAACACTGTGCTCATGCACCCTTTTCATATGTTTACGAAATCCAGAAAAAGTTCCAGAAGTGTGTGCACACCCGGCTTCACCGCATTTTAGTCTCAGTGTCCTTCCAGGGCATAGTCCATGCATCAACTTCAGATGTCTTACCAACACATTTGTGTTAGAATGGCGTGACTTGCAAATAAAACAAATCATGTCCATACAATGAAAATAAAATCAATCAATCAATCAAAAAGTCTTTCAAGGCTACTGCAGAAATCTTGATCGGAGCTCAATGACACGAGGATTTTCTCTGACGAGTCCAACATCAATATTGAAAACGGTGGTCTGTATGAACGTGTACATGTTTCGGAGGGACTCACTGAACTCTGTGCCAAAGACAAAATGGGCTTTGAATAGCTCATCAAAGGCCCCAAGTGAAGTTGTTGCTCGGCAGGGTATGGCAATTTTGTCTATGACGATGAAAAACCCATGGAGGTTGGTTCTGGATGTTCCAATAGCAAGAAGGTACGGCTGACAGGTCTGGACAATGGCATCTAAATGTCCCTGAACACTGTTCCCAGTCTGTGGGAGAAGAAAAAAAGTAAACAAAACAATTGTACATATGGGACTGAGGTTGTACAAAAGACACGTGTTGCACCCGTTATGTATGTTATTGTTAAATGATTACTAGTCCCTTGTACCCAGAATTTCAATGGGAAGTGTGTGTGCACCCCGTTTGAAATAAAATTTAAATGTAAACGTTATCCCCGTGGAGTATTGTGTCCCCAGTTTTCCTAGTTTATTTTACTATGCACAGCATGTGTTGACCTCAATACGAATATGGATCGAATAAGTTTGTGATGTGCCCATAATAAATATATCTGGATCAAACACTTCCTTAGAAAGTGACTACAAACCTTTAGAAACCTCACAAGGTGTTCTATTGCATGTGTAGCTGATAATCTCCCGGGCTTTCTCCGGCCTTGGGAAGTAGGGGGGAGCAAATAGACCAGCAGCAACAGCGAGGACAAGTCACTGTCCCAATCTTTTTGAAGGGAAAAAACATAGCAAAAAAGAGCAAACTTAATTGGCTTATCCTCTTCAAATTGCGCCAATCAAAATATTTACAAACACACTGCAGAGACATCTAATCCTGCACAGTGCGTGTCCCTCATGAGATTGTAACTAAGTGCTAAAGCATGTCATTATTCAGTTAAGTTGCCTTCAGTGTTTTAGTAGATAACACTGAAGCCAAATGTCCAGCTCTTAAATTGGACAAAAACATATGAAACTGTATATACACTTGTACTTTGTAATGTTAAACAACAATATTACATACCCTCTATATCACCATTTTCTGACTGAGGTGACTCTGCTGTGCGGATGAGTTCTTTGAGTTCAATGCTGATATGTGACAGGGTTTTACTCTGCTCAATAGTCTTTTCCTTGAACATTGTTGGCCACCGTTCAAGAAGTTTTGCTGAAGTCTCTTCTCCAAACAGCAGAGCAAAGTCTTGTTCAATCTGGGGATGGGTGACAAATGTTTCAACTTTATAAAACGCAGAAATTCATAACTAGCATAAGTTAAAAGTTATATAACTAGTCATTACACATAAAACTTCAGAATCAGGGTAAATTGAGAATTTGACTTACCAGGCCCTTAACATCAGCAAAACGAGTAAATGTTGACAGCACAGCAGGTGACTGGTGAGAGTCATGGACCATTTTCTGGCGATGAACAAATGTTTGCTTCATTTTGAGTCGGACCACCTCTTCATCAGTTGCATGCCTCATGAGAGATATTGCTTCCTTTAGCTGTTCTTCATTAAGCTCTGGCTCTGTCACATCTCGTTCAGAGGCTGGTCCTCCCTTACATCTTTTGTTCTGTGCCAGAGTTGGCTGATCCTCTGAGGCTCTCTTTTGAATTGTCTTGATGCGCCAGGCAAGGTATCCAGTTCCACTGTCAGAGTCATAGAAATGTTCCTATACAGCAATATAAAGAATTTACTAAAACATTATTGAAATTAATGTTTGATAAATGGGTGTTTGTGGCTGGGTAGGAATTCAGGGTTAAGTACAAAAATATACTCACATAACCCTTTTCAGAAAAGGGGTCCTTTAATTGTGGGAAGACCGATACTATTCCCTTTGCATACCGTTCCTTCACAGTTCTTGATGGCGATGTGCTAAAAGCATAAAAACATACTATTAACATGGACTTCTTTCTTGCAATACAGCCTGTGTGTGAGGAGGAGAAGGTGTGTTCGCGCGGAGGAGAGGTGTGTGCGTGCGGAGGAGAGGTGTGTTCGCGCGGAGGAGAGGTGTGTTCGCGCGGAGGAGGAGAGGTGTGTTCGCGCGGAGGAGGAGAGGTGTGTTCGCGCGGAGGAGGAGAGGTGTGTTCGCGCGGAGGAGGAGAGGTGTGTTCGCGCGGAGGAGGAGAGGTGTGTTCGCGCGGAGGAGGAGAGGTGTGTGCGCGCGGAGGAGGAGAGGTGTGTTCGCGCGGAGGAGGAGAGGTGTGTTCGCGCGGAGGAGGAGAGGTGTGTGCGCGCGGAGGAGGAGAGGTGTGTGCGCGCGGAGGAGGAGAGGTGTGTTCGCGCGGAGGAGGAGAGGTGTGTTCGCGCGGAGGAGGAGAGGTGTGTTCGCGCGGAGGAGGAGAGGTGTGTTCGCGCGGAGGAGGAGAGGTGTGTGCGCGCGGAGGAGGAGAGGTGTGTTCGCGCGGAGGAGGAGAGGTGTGTTCGCGCGAGGAGGAGAGGTGTGTTCGCGCGGAGGAGGAGAGGTGTGTTCGCGCGGAGGAGGAGAGGTGTGTTCGCGCGGAGGAGGAGAGGTGTGTTCGCGCGGAGGAGGAGAGGTGTGTGCGCGCGGAGGAGGAGAGGTGTGTTTGCGCGGAGGAGGAGAGGTGTGTTTCGTGCGGAGGAGGAGAGGTGTGTTCGTGCGGAGGAGGAGAGGTGTGTTCGTGCGGAGGAGAGGTGTGTGCGTGCGGAGGAGGAGAGGTGTGTGCGTGCGGAGGAGGAGAGGTGTGTGCGTGCGGAGGAGGAGAGGGTGTGTGCGTGCGGAGGAGGAGAGGTGTGTGCGGAGGAGGAGAGGTGTGTGCGGAGGAGGAGAGGTGTGTGCGGAGGAGGAGAGGTGTGTGCGTGCGGAGGAGGAGAGGTGTGTGCGTGCAGAGGAGAGGTGTGTGCGGAGGAGGAGAGGTGTGTGCGTGCGGAGGAGAGGTGTGTGCGTGCGGAGGAGGAGAGGTGTGTGCGTGCGGAGGAGGAGAGGTGTGTTCGCGCGGAGGAGGAGAGGTGTGTGCGCGGAGGAGGAGAGGTGTGTGCGCGCGGAGGAGGAGAGGTGTGTGCGTGCGGAGGAGGAGAGGTGTGTGCGTGCGGAGGAGGAGAGGTGTGTGCGTGCGGAGGAGAGGTGTGTTCGCGCGGAGGAGGAGAGGTGTGTGCGGAGGAGGAGAGGTGTGTGCGTGCGGAGGAGGAGAGGTGTGTGCGCGCGGAGGAGGAGAGGTGTGTGCGTGCGGAGGAGGAGAGGTGTGTGCGCGCGGAGGAGGAGAGGTGTGTGCGCGCGGAGGAGGAGAGGTGTGTTCGCGCGGAGGAGGAGAGGTGTGTGCGCGCGGAGGAGAGGTGTGTGAGGAGGAGAAGGTGTGTGAGGAGGAGAGGTGTGTGAGAAGGTATGTGAGGAGGAGAAGGTGTGTTTGCGCTGAGGAGGAGCAAGACAAAGGTACGTATGCCCTACTTTAGTGCATAAAACGCCTTGCCAGTGTGTGGAGGATGATTTAATTGGGGACCCCTGCCCTACACCATATTAAGTTTCACTTTGGAGGACAGTGTTTCAATGTTAAATAAATTATTACCCATGGATTTCAGTCATGTTGGCAATAACCATATTGACCATTTTCCTTCGAGAAGCATCTGTTAGTTTATTTGTCCTTCGATATTCCTTTATGATCTGGTCTCCTCCTGGCCTCTTTTTCAGAATGTCCTCTATGACCTTCAAAAGAACATAAACACGAGTCAATGCATGTATTCTTGAGTTCCGTCAACTCATGACAGTGGGTGTCCGTATTTGTAGTTTAGACTTAGACTCTATTGATCTACAAGGGAAATTGTATTGTCACAGTAGCTTGCATACTATTTCACAATATAAAATAAAAAAGAACGCAACAATCGAAAAATAAGAATAATAATGAGATAATATTGTGAGAATAGAATAATCTGGTACTTAGGAATATACATATCAGTGAATATGTACACATTTACAGTATAAAATAGGGAAATAGGACAGTACACATCTGTTAATATAAAATATACAAGGACAAAGCAGATGTATCTGTCACAGAGCGGTGACTACAGCAGGATGGAGTGGCCTGTGCTCTTGTACCGCTCACTGTGGCAGCTGTAAGAATGTTTGAGAAGGAGCTCATTTGCTCCTCTATAGTCCGATGGAGTGGATGTGTTGAATCGTCCATGATGGAGAGCAGTTTTTCCAGTGACCTTCTGTCTCTCACTATACAAATTACTAACCATAACTTGATTGGCTCGTGCAATCAGTTTGTCAGGGCAGAAAAAGTTGAAGTTTAGCCACAAGGACATTATCTTTGAAAGAAATACTTACAGAATCTTTATTTCTGGAACTTGACTGTGTCTGCAGAGGGCTTTCAATGTTCAAAATCACAGCATCACAATCATCAATATCCAGGATGGAACTTTCTCGGCTCGTCTGCATCACCTCAGCATCAAGTTCTGCATTAGGAATTAGAATCAGATTAATTCATAGTCCCATCAATGGCAAATTTATCTTGGGCTGGCAGTGCAACCTGTACCTATGGAGTTTGATCACTGATCTACACTGATTAGAGGTGGGGGAAATTTCCAATTAAAAAATGTCCTTACACACACCTAACTTCTTTGTAACTAACATATGCAACACTAAAAGCAGCAAAAAGCACCCTGAGCTGTACACTAAAATTCAAATGTTCATGCATTTCCATTCCAATAGATATTTTCATAAGTTATAAAATAGATTTTAATTACTTTAACTCTGGAAATGTGGAAAAAGTACATCAATGTACATATATTAAAAATGCATCAATAATAGTTTTAAAATCGAATCGCAGCCTCTGAATCGTAATTGAATCATGAGGTGCCCCAAGATTCCCTCCCCTATTAAGCCTGGTGTATAGTCGCGCAGAGCTTACAGTGGTGACATGCGTTATCATGTGGTTGGTTGTGGGATTACAACATTCTTTTCAAAACTCTGCAAGGAGACCACGCAAGTGTACCACCAACTGTGGCTGCGTTGGTCCAACGTAACCGCAACCAGCGCCGCATGAGTGTACACAGGCCTTTACTGATGTACTCTTCATTGGGACCTACCTTCCGGTGTGCTGTCCAATGACAGTTCATAAACATGGCCAATGTTTGACAGCATCACCTCTTCAAAAACATCTTCATCTATTTTAGTTTTTGTTTCATCAAAAAGTTTGGCATCAGATAAGCGGTTGAGAGGAATTCCAAACTTCTTGAAAGCTGTAAAAAACAAGTATATTTTGGATTACTGGACAATTGCTGTTCATGTGAAAAAGAGGCTTACAATAAACAAACAACTTCCCGAGATGGAAAGCAAAAGCAACTGCAATATCTGTTGCACCCCCTCTTGTTTTCATAACCATGCATAATGATCTCATGGAGAGTAACAAATTTACCTTCATCAAATAGATCCACAAGCTTGACTTCATATATTTTGACAAATCTCTGCTCCCCCTTATGTTTCACTTTGACCAGCATTTTTCCTGTTAAAAAACAAACATCCTTGAATTTACACTTGAGACACTCAAATTCGCTGATTTTATTAGGCCTCGAACAGAGGCATGAAAGAGTGACAAATAAATCAAATGTGAGGTCAGAGGAATTCCTCCCCCTGAGAATTTTTGGGATAAAAATATTGCAATAAAAATAAAGCAAACTTGTGCGCTCAGAATAAATGATTAAATAAAGTATACACCTTTCTTACAGCACAAACACATGCAGCGCGGGCTAGCTGTGGCGGGTTGTGTTTGCGTGGGTTAGCTGTGTTTGCCTGACCTAGATGTGGTGGTGTTGTGTTAGGGCTGGCTAGCTGTGTTAGCGCGGGATAGCCGTATTAGGGCGGGTTGGCTGTATTAGCACGGTCTAGCAGTGTTAGCGCGGACTAGCCGTGTTAGCGCGGGCTAGCCGTGTTAGCGCGGGCTAGCCGTGTTAGCGCGGGCTAGCCGTGTTAGCCCAGGATAGCCATGTTAGCGCGGGCTAGCCGTGTTAGCGCGGGCTAGCCGTGTTAGCCCAGGATAGCCGTGTTAGCGCGGGCTAGCCGTGTTAGCCCAGGATAGCCATGTTAGCGCGGGCTAGCCGTGTTAGCGCGGGCTAGCCGTGTTAGCCCAGGATAGCCATGTTAGCGCGGGCTAGCTGTGTTAGCGCAGGATAGCAATGTTAGCGCGGGATAGCTGTGGGACTGCATATGTGCGGTATAGCCGTGGTTAGCCAGATTAAGCGAGTGTAACGAATATCACATGAGCCAAACTGAGACTCCATTATCAGTAAAATAAGGCATTTCCTCACCTCCCGTTACTAACGTCCGCTCACGTTTAAAACGGCGTAGCCTAGACCTTGCTAACATGCTAGCAGGCAGTTACATGTGGTGCTGGTGACACATTTTGATATAATGAGGGAATTTTAACAAATCTACTACATTACCACACATATTCTGTTTGGAATGACTTGGCCTAGATTAGGCTAAAAACACAAACAGGCTAACGTTAAAGCTATCACTGGTGGACCTGTAGTCAGTTAAGTCAAATTCAGACTGAGGTTATATCAACCAGCTAAGACAATGTAAGACAAATTATGATATTCTCAACTAAATCAGACACACTCACCTTGACGCGTTCTCCTCAAAATGGTGGGTTTCAGTCTACTTTCCCGCTTTCATCTGATGGTTCTCACTGTTGGGGCTTCCCGCGCATGAGGTGAGAATGAACCAAACCGTAATGGGAGGGGTGTGTGAATGTAAAGCAGGAGCCAAAAGACTGCCTGCTTTTTTGTCTAAAAAGAGTTGATTAGCCTCAACATGTCAAGTTTATGCCTCAGTCTGGGTTAAAGCAGGTATAGGCACAGAGAAAAAATTAAACGTTTTAAGATAGCAAATTCTGTAATATACGATGGTGCAGTCTGAAATAGGGTGTGTATGAATTGACTCTTTTTTATTTTTACTCTGTTTTTTAACTAGGAAGGTAGAGTTAATTTCACTCCAGTCGGAGCATCTGTCACTCTGATAGAGTATATAATTTTTTACTCTGACATTTCGACTCCGGTCATTTTACTGTGCAGAGAGCGATAGATGGAGAGACTAGGGATAGAGAGAGAGAGTATTTGTTTTTCTGTAGTCCTTTTTAAACAAATCATCAAAAGCACTTGAGACATGAATGTAATAAATCGTTTCATAACCGTGAACAAAAAACATGCGTCTCGTTTCACCAGTGACGGATAATCTCTCTGGGTTTTGTTGGTACGAAGCAGGTGTTTTGGAAAAGGTGACATTTTGACAGATCATCGTCGCGGCGATGGATTGGATATCTCTCCATCAACGCCGCTGCCATGACGACCAGGCCAGGAGGAGCAGGGAGGAGTGAGGTTCGGTCTCCTCTTGGATCCAGGGCAACGGAGGGGGCAGGATGTGCGAATGGAGGCTCAGGAATGTGTAGGGGAATGTAATGTAACCAGGTCAGAGCAGAGAGTAAAAGTAGAAAGGTAGAGGTACTGGTTTTCCGGATAGGGTAATTGAGAGAGAGCAGAGAGAGAGAGAGAGAGAGAGCAGAGATAGAGACCAGAGAAAGACCAGAGCGAGACCAGAGAGAGAGCAGAGGGTGCGACCGGAGAGATACAAGAGAGAGACCAAAGAGAGAGAGAGAAACCAGAGTGGCACCAGAGTGAGACCAGAGAGAGAGAGACCAGAGAGAAACCATAAAGAGAGAGACCAGAGAATGAGACCAGAGAAAGACCAGAGAGAGAGCAGAGAGAGAGAGACCAGAGAGTGAGACCGGAGAGATACAAGAGAGAGACTAAAGAGAGAGAGAGAGAGAGAAACCAGAGTTAGACTAGAGAGAAACCAGAGAGAGAGAGAGACCAGAGAATGAGACCAGAGAGAGACAAGAGAGAGCGACCAAAGAGAGAGACCAGAGAGAGGGACCATAGATAGAGATCAGAGAGGGACCAGAGTGAGACCAGAGAGAAAATGTAGCGCGAGAGATACCAGAGACCAGAGTGAGACACCAAAGAGAGTTGGTGACTTGGTGAGAGACTTCTCCCCAGCGATCACCCAAACTAATCCATATTATAAATCTTTAAATCTGCTTGGGCAAAAAAAACATTGAAGACATTGCATGATTTCGTTGCCAGCGGTAACCATGTCCAAGTCGTCACCTCCAGAGCTTTTCTCTTGTGGATGGATGGGATTAGAAAAGTTAAGAGTGATGTGGAAATAGCTTTGAGATGTTTTTGGAGGTTAATCCACGGAAGCACGTGTCGAGGAGAGAGATGGAGCCGCTGCCAGGAACTCGGCCCAAAAGAGAAAACTCATGGGAGAAAGTACGAGTTTTAGGATTAAGATTTACGTGTTTCCACCTTTGGAATATTACAAAAACAAAACAAAACAACTGATGTTTGGGGGTGAAAATAGTAGATTTCATGCACAAGGGTTTTCTAATCATCAATGTCCTCAGCCTTGAACTTGGTCATGGTTGCTGTAGATATATACAGTATATGTATGTACATCCTCTATCTGACCTCATGATCAAATCTAATTGAGGACAATAATCATATTTGTGATTTCCCAGGGTTCCCAGGGTTCTCAAGGCTCGTCTTCCTCGCTGTCGTCTGCAAAAGTGTCCAGTCCAGAGGAAGAGAAGGACGGCTCTTCTCCTGAAGGTCCGTCACGTTACACCAGCTCTAACGCTTTACGACCTCTTTCTTTTCCCTCCGCCACAGGCTATACTATAGGCTCTTTGGAGTGTTGTGATGTCACATGGAGACAGCCTAATACAACGCACTCAATTGAAATTACCGAAAAGTGACCCAAAATTATCTAAAATTTACCCAAAAAATATCCAAAATGTACTCCAAATAATCAAAAAAAATACCTACAAATTATCCAAGAATTATCCAAAATTGTCCAAAAATTACCCAAATTTTTCCCCCAAAGAATTATCCAGATATTATCAAAAAATTACCCAAGAATGATCAAAGATTTACCCAAAGATTTAACCAAAAATTTACCAAACATTTACCAAAAAGGACCCTCTATGACTGGTTCTGTCTGTGTAAAAAGCCTGTGTCTTGTGCGCAGTGGAGGTTCCTGTGGACGAGGTTCCCTCGGTACCATCCTACATCTCGGACCGGTACAGAGTGGGTCGAATGCTGGGGGACGGGAACTTCGCCGTGGTCCGTGAGTGTGTGGAGCTGTCGACCGGCCGCGAGTACGCGCTCAAGATCATCAACAAGGGAAAGTGCAGAGGAAAGGTGAGTCAAACCTCTGAAGCTAAGCAGGACAGGGCCTGGTTAGTACTGTGATGGGAGACCTCTGGGACAGTCAGGAAAGTCCCATTGAGATTAACAACCTCTTTTTCAAGGGAGTCTTGGGCACGAGGCAGCAAAGGTTCCACAGTTACATAAGATTACAGATTACACATAAGTAGTACGTAAAAATTGCTAATACTGTATTGTGTTTGTGCAGGAACACATGATCCAGAACGAGGTGGCCATCCTGCGCAGAGTCAAGCATCCCAACATTGTGCTCCTGATCGAGGAGGTGGACACCTACAGCCAGCTCTACCTGGTCATGGAGCTGGTCAAGGTGAGGACACTGTATTTACATTCATGCCTCACACTTTACTTTCTGTCCACTTTTTGTTCCCCACATCCCCCTTTCTCTTGTGATGGGCTGAGAAGCTGAAACAAAGAAAAGTAATAATATTATTTAAAAAAACAAATACAAAAAAAAACTTCAAAGACATCTAAACAAAATGAGTAATTAATAAAAAAATGAAATAAAGATAAATAAATAAATACTAATAATAACAATAACCATAACCCTGTCCTGGTATATACAGAAGCAGCAATGAACAAATGTAAATGCAATGTAACACTTGAATATAAAACAATGGATCACAACAAAGGTGAAAACACTGTCACATGACGTCCAAATCTGAAGCAAAACACTTTACGCTTCAAATGTCAGGACGAGGACTATCATTCAAAGACAGCAACATGGCTACAATTTAATATTAGTTGTAAGTAGAAAACAATGTAGAAACATCACAAAACTAAAAGCCGTCAAATTGACTGCTCTGGGGGTTCTTGTGTTATCTGATTAAATTCTTGATAATAAACTGGATTGAAGCTCTCTATGCTGTTTCTTCTAGTGTATATTTGTAGCTTATTCCTCATGTGGTCATACCTACATGTGAAAGCCAGCTCCCTGTCAGACCTCTGAAGCTAAGCAGGGTATGACCTGGTTAGTACTGTGATGGGAGACCTCTGTAAACACCAGGTCTTTGAGTGTCCTTAAAAAGCGCAATATAAACTGAATGTATTATTGTTATCATTATTTTGTCTGGAGTAATGTGTGTGGGTCTTGTTATCTCTGATTTGGGATCGGTCTCACGGAGGAGATGCAGACAGAGCAGCACTTCTCACTTGGCGTTGGACAGACTCGGTTCGCGGCCGGGAGCGATCGTGTGTGCGCATTTTTCATTCGCCGGTCGAGAAATGGTGTGTGCATAATTCAGGAGTGGAGTGTTGTCCATCTGTCGGTGCAGCTACAAAGTACTACAGAATATAGATGAGTGTGGAGACAGCAAGAGTGTGGAGAGGTGAGGGAGGAGGTGAGGGAGGAGGTGAAAGAGGAGGTGAGGGAGGAGGTGAGTGAGGAGGTGAGTGAGTGATTAGGTGAGGGAGGAGGGGAAGAAGGAGGTGAGCGAGGAGGTCAGGGAGGAGGTGAGGGAGGAGGTGAGGGAGGAGGTGAGGGAGGAGGGGAAGGAGGAGGTGAGGGAGGAGGTGAGGAGGAGGTGAGGGAGGAGGAGGAGGAGGTGAGGGAGGAGGAGGAGGGAGGAGGGGAGGAGGAGGTGAGGGAGGAGGTGAGGGAGGAGGTGAGGGAGGAGGTGAGGGAGGAGGGGAAGGAGGAGGTGAGCGAGGAGGTCAGGGAGGAGGTGAGAGAGGGGCAGAGCAAGGAGGGGAGAGAGGAGGTGAGCGAGGTGAGAGAGGAGGAGAAGGAGGAGGTGAGCAAAGAGGTGAGGGAGGAGGTGAGGGAGGAAGTGAGAGAGGAGGTGAGAGAGGGGGAGAGCGAGGAGGGGCGATAGGAGGTGAACAAGGAGGTGAGGGAGGAGGTGAGGGAGAAGGTGAGGGAGGAGATGAGGGAGGAGGTGAGCAAGGAGCTGTGAGAGGAGGGGAGGTGAGGGAGGAGGAGAACGAGGAGGTGAGTGAGGAGGTGAGAGAGGGGGAGAGCGAGGAGGGGAGAGAGGAGTTGAACAAGGAGGTGAGGGAGGAGGTGAGCAAGGATCTGTGCGAGGAGGGGAGAGAGGAGGTGAGGGAGGACCATAGTGAGAGAGTCTGTAGACCCAGGACTGAGGCTCTATCCATCCTGCTGGGTTAGGGATGGGGGCCATGTTTGTTTTGCCTCTGCGCTGCTTGCTTTCGTCAAACCCGGATATCCCGCCCTTAACTTCAAGACCTAGATGTTCTACACAAAAAGTGTAAGCGGGAACTCACAAATACCGCTAGAATTTAACCAGGACTTAGACTTGCCCACAGGAGGGAGAGACCGGTCCACAGATCCAGGTCCCATCATAGTGTCATATAATAAACAATGGAACAACATCTGAATAGCACTGATTATTGACTCTAAAAACTCAAAAAACAACTCCACGCCAGTGCTTAATGAGGAGAAACCATGACAGTTGAGAATAATTGGACTTATTGACCCGACCAGAAGGAGTCCAGTAAGTCAGGTACCCTAGCTTTAAACATAATATTCATCTCTGTCTAACAAAATAACCAATAAACACATTTCTCTGGCCGCTCTCTGCCTTATGTAACTCTGAGCCACAGCCACGTCTCACTTCTCACCACTGACACTTTTTGTTTTTTTATGAATATATCTTTGGACACGTGCGTCCCATGTGACTTTACAGTAGAATAGATAGATAGACAGACAGAGTTTACTGATCCCCCGTATAGGAGAAATTCAGGTGTCCAGTAGCAGCAAAAATAATAGCCTCTGGGTGGAGCAGGACAGGTCACAAGGTGGAGCAGCCGTTTGGTTCGGAGCATTTTCTCTATTCTAGTGAAAAGTAAAATGCTAAATGGTTCATTAGCATTTACAAAAAAATTAGCATTCCTCCAGTGGATTTTCATCTGATCCACTTGGTTCGGACCATAAATCCTCTCTGCTCCGGTCTGGACCATTGCAAAACCATGAACACTGCTGCCGTTCTCCAGCGCATTCTAAAGTAAATATGAAGCAGAGATATAGGACCAATGTGAAATAGAACTTTGTTAAAAAAAAAAATAGCCTCATTAACAAATAGCCTCATGAGATACCCTTTCAATTCATTTCATTTCAATCGACTCAAAGGACTTTGCAAAGTTGTCAATTGGCCAACAACAGATCAGAGAATCAGGCATTGGTCCACAGGCCTCAGAACATTTATGTTTCATTGACATAGGCAAGGCAAGTTTATTTGTATAGCACAATTCATACACAAGAAGACACATTGTTATCGGTTTTAAATGCAGACATATTTTATCCATACATTCTCTACTCAATCATAAACTATTTATTTCTTAAACCCAGTGCAAACTATATATCACTTAGAATAAATAACATCATGGTGTACACATAACCACACATATACACGACCTACTTAGAAAGCAAGAAAGAGAAAAAACCTTTAAAAAAAATGAAACTAGATTAGGTAGGATTAGATAGAATATTGAAAATAATAATCATAATCATATGTATAGTTAAATGACAAAAAACTATAGAGAAGATCATTACAATTCCAAAATACATATAAAAAGTAAAGTGAAAAAATTAATTCTTGTTTTGTGCGGTGACTTCTGGCTCCAGACTTCGGGATTTGACAGACTTCATGTTTAAAAAGCCGTTGCGGCGCAGGTCAGGAGCAGCGGTGTCAACGAAAAGCAGAAATCTCCCCTATTTATACCCCACGCTCTGCTGCTGCTGTCACCGACGAGACAAGGGCAAAGGAAAACTGAAGACGAGAGACAGAGCTGTAGTGTCAGACTGTATGTGATTAGTTTTTAACGTATTAAAGCTCGGGTACTTAAGTTTCAAAGCACAAACAATAAGAGTAATGCAATAAAATCCATGTGTAGTCCAAGGATGGTTCAGTCACTAGTTTTAACATAGATGTATTTTTGGCCTAATAATAATACATTTGTTTTATACAGCACCTTTTGGACACTTAAAGACGTTGCACATGTCAACATATTTTCACTGTAGCCACATCTGCCCTGGGGCACACTGACAGAGCAAAGGCAACCACCAACCACACACACACCAGACTCAATCCAATGTGGGTGAATTTAGCTAAGCCTAAGGACACTTTACAACTGCAGCCGCCCCACTGTGGCACCTGGTGTTCCGAGAGGTCTACCATCACAGTACTAACCACACCCTGTAATGCTTAGCTTCAGAGATCTGACAAGATCTAGCTTTCATGTGCAGGTGGAGCCTGAAGTTGCTAAACATGCTAAATATTTGTAGTTTTATAAAATTCACTGGATACATGCATGCATGTGTGTGTGTGTGTGTGTGTGTGTGTGTGTGTGTGTGTGTGTTGTGTGCCTATATTTCTGTCATGACAACAGTTGCTAAGGAGCTTTTGCTGGTTCTGGCTAAAAACCCCCACTACTCTTAATTGTTTATACCTTTCTTTTATCATTACTATTTTTTTAGCATAATTGTATTGATATTTTAGTGTGTGTGCATGTGCGTGTCTATATTTTGGCCATGACAACGGTTGCTATGGAGTTTTTGCTGGCTGAGAATGCAGAGGACACTCATCCAACCGACACGACTCCTCATTGTTTAATCCTTACATTTACTATCAGTTTTCCACAATTCAATTCATATTTTCTAGTCCACGTTTTTAACACACTTCCTGTTCGTTCTCAGGGCGGAGATCTGTTCGACGCCATCACCTCGGCCAACAGATACACCGAGCGAGACGCCAGCGGGATGCTCTACAACCTGACGAGTGCCATCAAGTACCTGCACAGCCTCAACATCGTGCACCGCGACATCAAACCAGAAAACCTCTTGGTGAGGCCCGGCTTCTGACGTCACCGCTGCAGGACTGATAGAGTAGAAGAAGAGATTGTAGGCTTGTCTGGACCAGTGGGGGCGGGTCCCGGCTCAAAAGTGGCCAAAATGACGTGCGCTGACATGCTTGCCCGGGCCGATGGGGGTGGACCCGGAATAAGAATTAGCCTATACTAACATATAGCATCTTCTTACCTCTCGAAAACGTCTTTACAAGATGGTCCAAAAGTTGGCTCTTGGCCCAAAGCTCCGTTCCACATCTGTGTCAATGCTGAGGGGAGTGAATTTTTTTGGACCACTCTAGTTTAGTTGCTGTGAATTTTTGAAGGCACTCGTTAAATGAATGGGGCTCGTGCCGGCTGACGCATGCGCAGATGCGTTTTTTCACCTTTTTCAGCCCCTGCGGCCATTTTGAAACTGCCCATAGACCGCGAAAGTTGTGGCACATTAGTTAGAACGGCGGAGATAGACATGACTACGTCCGTTAATATTTACAGTCTATAGTCTGGACTAGGGCGATATGAGCAAAAATTTTAATCTTAATTTTTTTTTGCCCTACTCCCAATAACAATATTGTCACAATATCTTTAAAACCTGCTATGTTTTGCTTACCAGGAAAGAGAGAAAAACTGTCTCTTGAAACAGCAGAATCCAAGAACAATCATAAACATTTACAGACAGAGGTCATCCCGCTCATTGTGTTTGTTGTTACTGCATTTCCTGTGTTCAAACTCGGATTCTCGGATCTGTTTTGGATGAAGCTACAACATTGCAAAGTCGTCCGACAAGACTGCTTTTGTGATTCAGGACTATACACAAATAGATTGAACATTGAGCCACGAAAACACCAGCAAATAATAATGATAATTATTATAAAATGCAGAAGTACATTCAATAAATACTTGCACAAATACTTGTACAAAATACATTCAATAAAGGCACTCACAGTGACTTAGATGCAGCTCCATATTCTTCCAGAAATTTCTCGAGCAAAGTTTCTCTTAATCTTAATCTATTTGTATGTTTTTCTTTATGAATGAGAAGGGACTATATTTTCTCTCCTCCTCACTCACTGATAAGAGTATTTTCTCTCTTTTATGTCTTTCAAAAGCTTCTCAATCAGGCGATAATCTCTAAGTATTCATTTAAATCAAGGTTGCAGCTTCCGAGTGATTGAAGGACTCTTTGAAAGCATGAGACGTGTGTAATGTTTGTGTGTGTTGTGTGTAATGTTTGTGTTTTTTGTGTGTGTTTTCTCAGGTGTACGAACACGCAGACGGCAGCAAGAGCCTGAAGCTGGGAGACTTTGGTTTAGCGACGGTGGTGGACGGACCTCTGTACACTGTGTGTGGGACACCGACATATGTAGCACCAGAGATCATCGCAGAAACTGGGTAAAGATATGACATCACAACTTTGAACCATGAAGACCAAATATGGCAAGGGCCAGAGAGAGCAGAGAGATTAGAGAGAGAGCAGTGAGACTAGAGAGAGACCAGGGAGAGACCAGAGATCAGCGAGAGAGAGAGAGAGCAGGGAGAGATTAGAGAGACTAGAGAGAGATCACAGAGAGAGCAGGGAGAGCAGGGAGAATACAAATCATTAAAATCATAAATAATCACAGTACATTTCAAAGAGTGAAGAAAAAATCCCCTGCTTTTAATCTGGATTTGAACATGGTCAGAGAAGAAACCTGTCTCACATTTTCTGGAAGACAGATAATCCTCCTCAGAGTCCCAGTAGGAGGCCAGTCCCTGTGCTCCTCAGAGTCCCAGCAGGAGGCCAGTCCCTGTGCTCCTCAGAGTCCCAGCAGGAGGCCAGTCCCTGTGCTCCTCAGAGTCCCAGCAGGAGGCCAGTCCCTGTGCTCCTTCCAGCAAGAGACATGTCATACATGTTGGATAGATAGATAGATAGATAGATAGATGGATGGATGGATGGATGGATGGATAGATCTATATTGTTCCCCAATATTCAGGTGTTATTTCCTAGTTAAGTATTTATGTATTTTCTTCTAACTAAACCGGTTTTTCTTCTGCAGTTATGGCCTTAAAGTGGACATCTGGGCAGCAGGAGTCATCACATACATCCTCCTCTGTGGATTCCCACCGTTCCGAGGGTGAGTATTTGTGTATTTTTAATTGTATTACGTCATTAGTTCATCTCTACACTCAGACCGTGTTGTGTAATATCCCACGATAACTTTGCTACAGAAAATTCCACTATAAACAAATCCGATGGTAGATTATGTAGGTGCTTGACGCCCTCTGCAGGCGGGAGGTGGTAGTGCAGTGTTCACTCTTTATGAAAGCATTCTATATGTTGTATTTTGAAGAGACTCAAGTTATATTGTATTCCACTATGACAAAGCAAAAAGGGTAAAAAATAATTAGGTTTAACAAGACTCCATGAATTAAAATGGACAGAAAAATATTAATTTGAAACAAGACGAAAGCTACTATAGGTTTGTAGGCTGCAGTAGTATTGACCTGCACAACATATACCACACATAACATACATTTACATATACTACATATAACACACATTCACTTATAAGGAATTAAATTAAATAACTAAAAGTGATCGGATTGGGAATAGATGAAGTAAACACATGATCATTCCAATCCCCTTTTAAATGCAAGATACAGACACACTTTCTCTCTCTCTCTCTCTATCTCTCTCTCTCTCTCTCTTTCACTCCCTTTCTCTCTCTCTCACACACACACACACACACACACACACACACACACACACACACACACACACATAACACACATATATAACACATCTTCATAATAATACTATTTCAAACAGCAGATTGTGCTTACATTTGTGCAGTAGCTGTGAAGACCAGGAAGTGCTGTTTGACCAGATCCTGATGGGGCAGCTGGAGTTCCCGATGCCGTACTGGGACAATGTTTCGGAAACAGCCAAAGTAAAGTATATTTCAGTAAATATATAATACAGTTTATATCATTCTATCTGGTATAGGCTGAATAATAAACTGACCAAACTTGACTCCTCGAAACAGGAGCTGATCCGATCCATGCTGGAAGTGGAAGTAGATCAGAGATACACCGCTCCCCAGGTCCTAGAGCACCCCTGGGTCACGGTAAGAACCGGACCGGAGAGAGAGAGACCAGAGAGAGGGACCAGAGAGAGGGACCAGAGAGAGGGACCAGAGAGAGTGACCAGAGAGAGTGACCAGAGAGAGAGAGAGACCAGAGAGAGAAAAGAGAGATCAGAGAGAGGGACCAGAGAGAGACCAGAAAGAGACCAGAGAGGGACCAGAGAGAGAGAGAGACCAGAGAGAGGGACCAGAGAGAGACCAGAGAGAGAGACCAGGGAGAGACTAGAGAAAAAGAGAGACCAGAGAGAGAACAGAGAGAGAGAGACCAGAGAGAGACCAGAGAGAGAACAGAGAGAGAGAGACCAGCAAGAGACCAGAGAGAGAACAGAGAGAGAGAGACCAGAGAGAGACCAAAGGCAGACCAGAGACAGACAATAAAGACTAGAGAGAGGCTTCGAAACAAGTGCATGCATGTTTTTTTGTTCTCTGTCATATCTCTATATAAACTTTTTCAGACATAGAAGTGACAAAGACAGGACCACCCTCTCTCGGCCAATCAGCTCTCAGCTCAGTGTCAAACAGTGACTCAGAGGGTCTTTCTTACAGCTATGCTTCAGATAATATGATTTACAATGAGATGAAGACAGAATGTTGTGGTCTGAAATGGAATCAATGTAACAATATGCATAGAATATAGAACTAGTTTTATTGGCAACACATTTCTTCAGTCCTACTTTAGCATAACTTGTTTTTTAGCTTGTTTTCTGATTTCTGTGTTCTGTTTTTTTCTTGTTTCAGGATGAAGGTCTGTGTGAGAACGACCGTCAGCTTTCTGTAGCAGGAAAAATCAAGAAGCACTTCAACACCACTCCAAAGGACAATGACACGACCGCCGGCGTCTCCGTCATCTCGGTGCGTGCATACCACCGCTCACATAACGCCTTCAAGAGTCTGGGGTCACACTCTCAGTATATATGAATGCAAATCATAGTTTTTAAAGACAAGAAACAAAGCTCTCAATTCAGAGATCAGAGAGAGAGAGAGACCAGAGAGAGTGAGCAGAGATAAACCAGAGAGAGAGCAGAGAGAAACAAGAGAGAGACCAGAGAGAGACAAGAGAGAGACCAGAGAGAGACCAGAGAAAGAGCAGAGAGAAACCAGGGAGACAGCAGAGAGAGACCAGAGAAAGACCAGAGGGAGTCAGAGAGAGTGAGTCCAGAGAGAGACCAAAGAGAGACCAGAGATAAAGACCAGAGAGAGAGACCCGAGAGAAAGTCCAGAGAGAAAGTCCAGAAGAAGAGACCAGGGAGAGAAACCAGAGAGAGACCAGAGAGAGACACCAGTTCTGTCAGTTAACTGGAGCTAAACCATTTAAATTATCAATTCTATCACAATATCTGAACAATTCCCTATTAATTTTTCTTTTATGAATAAAAATGTGAGATTTGATGCTTTGACACCGTCCCTTTAACCCCAGTCTTTTGAAGCGTGTTCTATTTCTGTTTTAATCAATGTTTGCGCGTTACAGAGGACTCTAATGGTGGCTGAGTGGTTAGCACTCTGACTGTGGCGCTCTGTGTCTCTGTTCAGCTCGATGACAGCTTTTCTATGCAGAGATCTGGGTCGTTGGATTTCTACCAGCACCCAGCCATGTACTGGATCAGGTAGGCCGGGTTCACCGAGCACAAAGCCTCCCCTTTAAACCACAAAGAGCCAGTCCCTTGTCCTGGATGTTTGCCCCTGTCCCGCCCCTCGCACCTCGCTGCTTTCTTCCCATTTGCTGCTTATGTTGTTGTGGGTATTTAAAGGTGCATTATGGGAAATACACAGAGACTTGTTTTTAAATCAGTGGTATGTATGGTACTACGTAGCCTGGTCGTACCACAACATAGTACAAATTACATTTCGTACTATTGAGCTTTGTTAACAGGTGGGAGGGGTTAACTCCTTTTGCAGATTGAAACAATTGGTTCTGAGTTTACCTTGCCATCTCCTTTGCCGCTAACAGAGCCCGTGGGGAGTAGCGGCACAATTTTTCCAGCGATTACATTTGCTAAACATTACCCTTGCTCCAGCTTCAATTTCTTGATAGAACCAGACCGGATTACTTTACTATCACATTTTTCGCCATTGCCAAACTACAACCTTCCCCTTCGACGCAAACTCTTGACATCACCCACATCTAACTACAGCACCCGCCTTCCGCGCTCTCTGAATGGTCGGTCAAAATTCAAGCAATTGTAATCGCTAACATGGGGACCAGACCCAGACGTTACATGCAGTGAAATGATGATTGATCGGAGTTCAGTGTACGGATGGCTAAGGCCAGGCTAGGTACTATGTGTTACTTGTTACTATTACCAGAGAGAGGCCAGAGAGACTAGAGAGAGGCCAGAGAGACTAGAGAGAGGCCAGAGAGACTAGAGGGAGGCCAGAGAGACTAGAGGGGAACCAGAGAGACTAGAGAGAGGCCAGAGAGACTAGAGGGGAACCAGAGAGACTAGAGGGAGGCCAGAGAGACTAGAGGGAGGCCAGAGAGACTAGAGGGGAACCAGAGAGACTAGAGGGAGGCCAGAGAGACTAGAGAGAGGCCAGAGAGACTAGAGGGGAACCAGAGAGACTAGAGGGAGGCCAGAGAGACTAGAGAGAGGCCAGAGAGACTAGAGGGGAACCAGAAAGACTAGAGGGAGGCCAGAGAGACTAGAGGGAGGCCAGAGAGACTAGAGGGGAACCAGAGAGACTAGAGGGAGGCCAGAGAGACTAGAGGGGAACCAGAGAGACTAGAGGGAGGCCAGAGAGACTAGAGGGAGGCCAGAGAGACTAGAGGGAGGCCAGAGAGACTAGAGGGAGGCCAGAGAGACTAGAGGGGAACCAGAGAGACTAGAGGGAGGCCAGAGAGACTAGAGAGAGGCCAGAGAGACTAGAGAGAGGCCAGAGAGACTAGAGGGAGGCCAGAGAGACTAGAGGGGAACCAGAGAGACTAGAGGGAGGCCAGAGAGACTAGAGGGAGGCCAGAGAGACTAGAGGGGAACCAGAGAGACTAGAGGGAGGCCAGAGAGACTAGAGGGGAACCAGAGAGACTAGAGGGAGGCCAGAGAGACTAGAGGGGAACCAGAGAGACTAGAGAGAGGCCAGAGAGACTAGAGAGAGGCCAGAGAGACTAGAGGGAGGTCAGAGAGACTAGAGGGGAACCAGAGAGACTAGAGGGAGGCCAGAAAGATTAGAGGGAGGCCAGAGAGACTAGAGGGAGGCCAGAGAGACTAGAGGGAGGTCAGAGAGACTAGAGAGAGACCTTTGTACCAGTTTGTTTTTAAATACCTTACATTACTGTGCTATAGAAAAAAAAGAAAACAATATTATTTCCAATATTGTTTTTGGAAATGTGTTAAAAACCAGCAAAAACCATCTCAAAGATTACAGTACATGATACACACATGCACATGCTAGTTATGATTACAATGAAAAACAATGTCTTATGTGTTTAATGAGATGTTTATTGAGGCCAGAGAACAGTTATTGCACCTTTAAAACCGCTGCTTTTCCCTGGTTGCTTTGTCTCGGCTTCTGTCGTTTGTGTATTTGTGAGTTGTGTTTTAATGAGATTAAGATCTATATTAGCATCTTAATTAAGATCCTATATTAGTCTCACATTAAGATCCATATATTAAGATTCAGTATTAGTCTCACAGTGGGGAACTTTCAATGTTGCATGACAGGTTACGGAACAGAATCTAGCCCACCGAACAAAAAGTCTTATTATATGAATAAAATAATCTTGCGTTCCAAGGATGTTATCTGGTTTATTTTTCATCCATTTTTGTGTCATGATCATAGACTGTATAAAAGTGGACTGATAGAGAGGACGTGTTAGCCTTGAACTTAAGCTAATTGGAGGTCATTATTTCTGAAGCAAAACTTCACCGTGAACATTTCTGTTTCGGGCTTCATTGAGCTAGCGGGTTTGCATAGTTAGTTTAGTTTAGTCTTTATTTGAAGGGACAATGCACAGAGACATCAAGCTCGAAGACAGACATGTTCTGCAGCAGATTATAGCTAAACAGCTAGTTTCCATCTGCAGTCCTGGTTACATATTGAGCTAGCAAGTTAGAATTGTATTATTGTGTACTATTTACAGTCTATGATGATGATGTAAATGTTGTAATGAAAGCTGCATGTTTCCCATCACACACAGGAATATATTTATTATTGAACACTGCAAAAAATGATAAAATACAAGGTCATTATTGCTCAAATCGAGTGGTTTTTGTCATTCTCCATCCATCCATTTTCTTCCCCTTAATCCGTTTCTGGGTCGGGGTGGCTGCACCCAGTACACACAGCACAGTTTTTGACATTCTGACTCTATTTAAACAAGATTCTCCAACGGGACAAAGCTATTTAGTCTTAATTCAAGAACTGTTGCTTTATTTTCTCATTCCAAGAGAGACATTTCTTGTATCTTTTTAAAACAAGATGATTTTGCTTTGTCCCATTGGAAAATCTGGTTGTAAGGCAAGCATATTTCATCACTTTTTGCAGTGTAGAAACCCTAGGTATTGAGATTCAGCTTGATAGATTCTGACTCGACCACATTATGCATCCAGATTGTCTTCTTGTTTACGTTTGTGTATGTTATAAATATTACCTACTGTATTTCTTCTTCCTCCATTCTCTCACACTTCCCCTGTCTCTCCACACAGACCACCTCTCTTGATAAGGCGGGGCAGATTCTCCGACGAGGATGCCACCCGGATGTGATCACGCTGGCGGCCGTGACCCTGACCTCCAGAGCCGAGCGGACCGTGCAGCCTCCCAGCCTCCTCCCCGGCCTCCGCTCCCCTCCGTCGCTCATGGACCCGGACTCATACCGGTCCCCTGCCTCCACCGACGTGTCCCTGTGCTCCGTCAACAGCACTGGACGCTCCCCTGGATCCCCCTTCTGACCCAGAGACGGGGCCCTCTGTGGTTTTTACGCCAATGCGAGCTCGAAAAGCAAATGTGTCAAAGTCAAACAGGGCAGACTTAATGTCCACGGGTTTCTTAGTGATGACTGAAGCAATTAAAAACAAAATATTATGACCGTTACCGAATGTCCACACTATTCTCTATGTCTCTTTCTCTCTCTATAGTCGTTCTCTCATTAGTAGTAGACTATATAGAGCAGGTGACTCCAACCTTTTTCACCCAGAGAGCTGCTTTCCCGGGATGATAAAGGCAGAGAGCTACTCATAGAAAAAAATATTATTATTAGTTCTCATTGCATATTTGTTACTAGTGCTTAAAGTAAGTGCATTTACAAAAATAAATAATGATAATGATACAATCTGAAACATTAAGTCATTTTTGATTTGTTCATTTCTAAATCCTTTGGCGAGCTACCTGGAAGGGGGTGGCGAGCGAGCTACAGGTTGGAGATCCCTGATATAGAAAATACAATTGTGTAAACTTTCAGTCACAGCTTACATATTATGAATAAGGAAAGAGGTCCGACTGGCAGTGTGGCCAATTAAAGCTCGGGTACCTGACTTTTTGGTTACATAGATTATACTGGTTGTTTGTTGAAAGAGTCTGTTGTGAAAAAAACAGACCACATCATGCAGACTTTATCTTTTAGAAAACACGTTCGTTTTTGCTCTTCCTGACCCTGGGAGTCACTATTTGCAGGTTTGTACTAAGAGCTGAGGACTGAGGCTGTGGATCCCAGGACTGAGGCTGTAGATCCAGGACTGAGGCTGTGGATCCCAGGACTGAGGCTGTAGATCCAGGACTGAGGCTGTAGATCCAGGACTGAGGCTGTAGATCAGGACTGAGGCTGTAGACCCCAGGACTGAGGCTGTAGATCCAGGACTGAGGCTGTAGATCCCAGGACTGAGGCTGTAGATCCAGGACTGAGGCTGTAGATCCAGGACTGAGGCTGTAGATCCAGGACTGAGGCTGTAGACCCCAGGACTGAGGCTGTAGATCAGGACTGAGGCTGTAGACCCCAGGACTGAGGCTGTAGATCCCAGGACTGAGGCTGTAGATCCAGGACTGAGGCTGTAGATCCAGGACTGAGGCTGTAGATCCAGGACTGAGGCTTTGGATCCAGGACTGAGGCTGTAGACCCCAGGACTGAGGCTGTAGATCCAGGACTGAGGCTGTAGACCCCAGGACTGAGGCTGTAGATCCAGGACTGAAGCTTTCCATTGCGACAAACAACATGTATTATCTATGAAACAAAGGATTCAGGTACCCCAGCTTTAAAACACAGTCTATCATCTTCATTACGACCCTTAAATATTTAACTTGACACATCGGCTTTCTTTTTTTCGCGCACAAGACTGAAATCCTCTTCGAACGTGACACATGGGAGGAGGGCGGAGAGGGAGAAACAAACCACGGACTCTGACGGGAAAAGATTTCGTGAAAGACTTTGTTATTTTTGACTTTTTCTCTCATCTGAGCACACACACCGAGCTCACGGAGCGACGAAGCGACCGGCAGATCCTTCGGTGATGATCGGGGCTCGAAACGCGGGACTCAAGCTCCGAAGGCAATATGAGAAAATCCAATGTTCATGTTTTATTGAACCTTAACTTATTTATCTAACACCACATTTTTTTATATGTTTCTTATTTTATGTTGTGGGGAGATAAGTGACTAGACGTAGAGCTCAGGAAAGTCAATAGGCTTCTGTAGAACATGATTGTGATGTTAAGATAGCAAAAAAGTTACTCTTTGGGAGGTCTGGGTATGAACACAGGTGTCTACACTGCAAAAAATGGGAGATATAAGTCAAAGATTGCTCAAATTTGGCGAAAATTATCTTAATTTGAGAACATTTTGACTGCTTTTAAACAATATTTGCAAATGGGACAAAGCAAAACGAACTTAAAAAGATATGTCTCCCTTGGAATAACAAAATAAATAGCTAGATTGGTACACATCTATCCAGACAAACAAATAAATACATCATTCTAAAAGTTTTATGGTCATACTGTCCAACAGCACAGAGGTGGAACATCCCGTACTCTGGTTGATGTCGGCAGAGTCTGCAGATGTCAGACTATTTTCTGCTTTGGTTTAGAGTGAAATTCTAAATGCTTTTGAACAAAATTTGCATTACTCCAGAAGATTTACCTTTTTATCAGTGTAAAACCATGAACGCTGAACTGCAGTAACATTTACAGCTGGAAAAAGCAAGAAAATAACAATTGCAAAACACAAAACCACAACTGTTTCAGAGCGAATTATGACTTTTTCCCATTGGCAAATCGTGTTTTAAGACAGAATATGCTCAAAATTAAGACAAAATCCACTCAATTCAAGCAATAATCACTTTGTATTTTATCATTTTTTGCAGTGTAAGGATATGTACTTAATAGTTACCTAATGTAACTTAAGTTCTACGAATAGGTGCGTAGTCCCTTAGGACTTCGCTAGTGGATATCACGTGACCCCCAGGTCACAGACGCCAGAGAGATCAAAATAATTTGCTCCAATCACCAGCCACCTTCCTCTATAAATGCCCCTGCACAAGGCCGCACCCCCTCTTGAACTCTGCCAAGCCGGGCTGGCCTGATGGGCTCGTAGCTAAGGGACTACGCACCTATTCGTAGAACTTAAGTTACATTAGGTAACTATTAATTCTACGTCATGGTGCTACGTCCCTTAGGACTTCGCTAGTGGGACACAACGCGGAGGCCGTAGGAAAATGTACTCCCAGCAGGCCAGCGAAGGGTGATTGGAGCTCCGCCCGAGCAAGACCCTCACACCGTGAGAGGACTCAGGGCAGAAGAAACAAAGCGTGTTACCGGGCCACTCCTACCAAGGACGCCCCCACGTAACACCAATCGTAGGTCAACCGTAGTCACAGGACGCCTCTCCCAAGAGCTCCTGATGTAGACTACCAGACCGATCAAACACACATATATGTACCGCACCTGTAGGATGCCTCTCCCAAGAGCTCCTGCACCAGGGCGGAAAAATAGACCGAAGGCCCACTCCTCAGGGGAGGGACCCAACGGTCCAACTCAATCCGCTGCACTCAGCACGGAATGGGCCACCGACCGGTCCGACACATCCGAAAGATAAGACCGGACGAAAGAGGAGGACGACGCCCAAGAAGCCGCACGGCAAACGTCCTCGACCGACGCCCCCCTGAGAAGGGCCGTAGAGGCCGCCATCCCACGCGTGGAATGCGACCTGAAACCCACCGGGGGGGCCAGGCCCTGCGCCTGATACGCCCGTCGCACCGCCGTGGCGACCCAATGCGCCAGCCGCTGAGCCGACAGCGGGGCGCCCCTGTTCTTGGGGCCCAGACACACAAACAGCTGATCACCCGACCTGAATGACGACGTCATGGCCAGGTAATGCCTCAGCATTCTGATAGGACACAGAAGGTGCTGCCGCTCCTCCTCGGGGGAGGCATGCGGCGGCGGGTGGAAAGCCCTAATCCTGATCACTCTCGACCTAAAGGCCGACGTGATGACCTTGGGGAGAAAAGCCGGATTGGGCCACAACTCCACCATGCCGTCGTCCTCTCCAAAGGACAGGCACGACGCATGGACTGAGAGCGCACACAAATCGCCCGCCCTTTTTGCAGACGCCAACGCCAGCAAGAGGGCCGTCTTAAAAGCGATACAATCGGGACTCGCCTCCGCCGCCGGTTCAAAAGGCGAACCCGACAGCCCCCTAAGGACCACCCTGAGGTCCCAAACCGGAGGCGTTCTCTGGAGCGGGGGCCTCCTCCTGCGCGCCCCCCGCAGAAAACGTTTAATCAACGGGTGAGAGCGGGCTGTGAACCCCCCGAACCCGTCGTGACCTGAAGTAATGGCTGCCGCAAACACCGCCAAGGTAGCGACAGCCCTCCCCTTGTCGAAAAGCTCCTGTAGGAATCCCAGGACCCCCTCCAGCGGGCAAAACCTGGGATCCCAGGAACGGGAATCGCACCAGGCACTGAATAGCCTCCACCTCGTGGCGTAGGCCCTCACGGTGGACGGCGCCCTCGCTCCCTGAATTGTCCCCACCACCGCAGGGGGAAGACCCAGATCTACGAGGCTCCGCCTCTCAACCTCCAAACCCAGAGCCTGCGGCCGATTATCGGACGTGAAAACAGGGCTCCTGCCCCCTGGACTAGAGCCCCCGGCTCGTCCGGGAGGGCCCAGGGCTCCATCACCGCCATGCCCCTCAGGAAGGGGAACCACCGGGCATGCGGGCTGTCCGGAGCCACCAGAATCACCGACCTCCTCTCCTGTTCGATCCTCCGCAGTAGGACCGGCAGGAGACGCACCGGTGGAAAAGCGTACAACAGGCCGCCTGGCCATGGGTAATGAGCCAGAGCGTCCACGCCTAAAGGCGGCTCGTCCGCGGCCCTTAAGGCGAACCAGGACGGGCACTGTGCGTTCTCTGCACTGGCGAAAAGGTCGACTACTGGACGACCGAACCTCCGCCAGATCTCCGCGGCTACCCGTGGGGCCAGGCCCCACTCGTCCTGGAGTGGGCCCCCCCTGGACATCCTGTCGGCTCCCACGTTCCGGACCCCCGGGACGTGGCGCGCCCTGAGAGACAGGAGGTGAAGCGCCGCCCACAGCAGCGTCACCGTCGCCATGCGATGGAGAGCGGGGGACCTGGTGCCCCCCTGCCTGTTCAGATAGGAGACCACTGTGGTGTTGTCTGAGCGCACCATCACGTGTCTCCCCTGCAGCTGAGGGGCAAAGTGCAGCAGTACTCTGTGCACTGCCTCCATCTCCAGCAGGTTGATGTGACGGGCTGAGTCCGACCAGCAGCCTCCTACAGAGCTCTGGCCGAGGACCCCGCCCCATCCTTCGAGCGACGCGTCCGTGAACACCTCGGCGTGAGACACAGCGCAGGCCAGAGTCACTCCGTCCCGCAGTAGACCCGGAGTGAGCCAGAACCTGATGTCCGATGCTGCCCCTTGGGGAACCCAGATCAGCCTCCCCCC